GCCTGAGAATAATATATGCGGCGGTTGTTAGCCTCACTCCAGGGAAAACTAAATGTATAACGAAAGCTTATTCGTGAGTAGGAATATACTAACGGAACAATCTGATGTCTTCTTAATCCTATGTAAAAAGCTCTGTAGTCTTCCTAATATTGACTGAATGGGTAATTAATGGCTCTTCATCGAGGAGAATACCCGGTAATCCGAGATAGGCGAAAGACAACAAGCCGAAGGTAAAAAGACAACAGGACTGGCTGGAGACTCTGCGTAAGAACCAATTTATCCGTTTAGGAGAGTATTACGCCTAGAAACAACGACCCCGTAAGGAGATAAAAGAAAAGTGGGAAAATAAATACCCGCCGTCAGTCCGGCCACCCCCGGCACCCCCAGGCAAGCCGCTCAGCTCCCAGCCCCGCTCCCGGGGCCAGCACCGGGGACTCCGGGCTGCCGGCTCCACCGCCGGGAGTGGGAGGTCCAAAAACACCCTCGGGTGCGGGGGGGAAAAAAAAAAAAAAAAAAAAAGGAAAAGGTGGAGGGGAGTGGGGAGCAGCCCCAAATCCCCATTTTTGCAGCTGGTGGATGCCCTCCAGCCCCCTGGGGCGTGTCCCTGGTGAGCCCTGCAGCGCTGGGCGAAAGGGGAAGGGAAGGGCGAAATTCTTCCAAATAGCTGGTTTTTTGTTTTGGTTTTTTTTTTTGAGGGCCTGACAGCCCCCCGCAGCAGCAGGCGTGGACAGTTGGTACGTGGGTGAGCCGGCCGAGGCGGCTTCGTGGCCAGGACACAAACCCAAAAGGGTCTGGGATCTTCCAGCAGAAAAAAAAAAGAAAAGAAAAAGAAAAAAAATTAAACCCCCCTTTTTAAATTTTAATTGAAACCTTTACCGCTAATATATTGCTTGGGTGGCTACAATTAGGTTGTTTTTCGATTGGCTGACAGCTTTTAAAATATTATTTCACTCGGGAAATAAAAGCTTCATCTCAGATTATAGGTGGGTATTTTTGGATTTACGTGATTTATGGTCACCATGACAACTAATGCTGCGTGGTAGCTCCCCTCCTGCCCGGGGTGGGGGAGTTTTAATCACAGGCGTGTAAGGAAATGCCGGCGCCCTCCTCCCGTTGGGCTACCGGGGCCCAGGCCGGTGCCGTGCCCCGCTTTTGGGGACGCGGGGACGGCGGCGGGACGGGCACCGGCGCTGCGCCCTGCAAGCGCATATAAAGCGCGTAAAAAGCGCTTTGCGCCGCGCAGCCGGGAGGGACTTTTCGTTTCCAGCCGCGGCGGAAGAAGCCAGCATTTCCCCAAACTAACTAAAAATAAATGAATGCAAAAAAAAAAAAAGGAAAAAATAATGGAAAGGGGGGAGGGCTCATCTGCGAGAGAGCTGCATTGCCTCCTTAAAAAAAAAAAAAAAAAAAAAAAGAGAGAAAAAGAAAAAAAAGGGTGGTGGTGGTGTGGGTGTGGTATCGCTGTATCCCTTCTTCCTCCGGCTCCCCCTCCCCAGGGCTGGTTACAGCCCCGACGCGGTCCCGCCGTGGGGAAAGATTGGGGGTGGGGTGTGTGGATTTCTGGGTGCAGGACCACGGCGGTAGCGAGAGGTTAAGAAGAAACGGGGATGTGATTGGTAAACAAATTGTGCAGAATGGAGCTGGATTCATATTGACTTAGTTATAGGTCATCTGCTGCCGGTGCAAAGGGAGGAAATATTTACTTTACACATATACTTTATGATCTTGGGGGAATTAGAGGAAATTCAATAAGAAAACGGCTAGAACCATTTTAAACCCCCTATTTAAAAGACTTAAGCAAATTAGAGTCTTATCAGATTAAAATCCACTACAAATGTAAGAGCATTGTCTCCGACGAAACGCTGTGGGGTCTGAGGAAAGAGACTCTTTGCCAAATCTCAGGGATAAAAACACGTCATTTAAACACCAGATAATGAGCAGAATGTAAATTAATTTAACCTTCTTTACTAACAGGCTGCGAAAGTAATATGTATAATTTAGCGATAAGTAAGATTGCGAGGGATGATACGTA